TTACACTTTGTCAAGTTACTGATGATATTGTAAGAAATAAAATTACAGGACTTGTTACTTTGGACTATTCCAAAGCATTGGATACTATCAATCACAATCTACTTTGTTTCAAACTAAAATATTTTGGTTTTTCTGAAAATTCTGTTCATCTCATTCATTCATATTTGTCTAACCGTAGTCAAAAAGTTCTTTTAAATAATGAATTTTCTTCATTATAAAACGTAAAGTCTGGTGTGCCACAGGGCTCAATATTAGTACCAATGCTTTTTATTTTATATACCAGCGATATCTTGACATCTGTTCGCCACTGTAAAATACAAGCATATGCTGATGACAAACAACTTTATTACACCATTCATAGTAATAATTATCAGGTTGCTGAACAAGCCTTAAGTGAAGATCTTGATCATATTCATAAATTGTCAATTAAACATAATCTTTAGTCAAAGTCTTTCCATAAAAATTGATCAACTAACTTTACCTATAGCGGTTTCCATAAAGAATCTAGGCATTCTATTTGACTCTGATCTCAATTTCCACTCACATGTAAACAACCTTTTAAAAAAAAATTATTTTCGACTTTAAAAAGTTATATTCCACAAAAAAATTAAAAACAAAATGGAAAATAAAATAAACAAAACATTTAAACCATATTATGTTCAGGTCATTTTAGTTATTAAGGTAAAACAACTTTAATGTAATTTGTAAAATAATGAAGTTTGTTATACAATATTTTTATTTGTTCACCTGACAATTGACTGGCCTGTTGATTTATATCCAGTGCCACTAACTTAGTTTAAAAAAAAATAATGCACAGTCTGTCTTGGAAGGTGACAAAAATGTTACTCCTTAGTCCTTAGTTTTGTCTATTTTCTCATTTCATGATGTCGTCTATGGAAATTTTATTGATTCTTATACACAAAACCGCATATAAAAAGTACAAAATTATTGTGTTAGATTTATTTATGGACTTCGAAAATATGATCGAGTATCTCATAAAATATATGAACTTAAGAGCTATTGCACTGCTCACAAATGCAATCAAAATGTGTGAATTTCGAGTATTTGGTTTTCATTGTAGACGGCACAATAATGAATATATTTTATAATTTTTTTTTTGCAAAAAGATAAAGGCTTGGACTATTATTCTACAGACGCTTTTGATTAAAGCATAAACGGTTCAACCAGAAAAAAATCTATAAGTTCAATAAAATTATTAAAAAGAACCTAACTTTACCAAACGAATTATTATATTAAAAATACATTGTTTTTAAAATACAACGATGTAAATGTAGTTTCATCTTTTCTCAAGAGAATAAAAAAATAATAATTAAAATTGGATTTGAAATAAAGATGTAATCATATAAATACGGAAAGTTGTTATTCCCAAAAATACCTATAAAACTGAATATTTTGACTCTCTTCTCTGCACGATTGCATTTTCATCGACGCATCGCTCGGCGTGACTCGTTCTCAATCGACAGTGCAAAGCACTGCCCGAAGCTTGTTTGGCGTATTTCAATTTTTATCAGTGTTGGACTCACCCATCATTATTAATGCATTAATGTTTCTTTAAATTCGTTTAGGTAAAAATAATAATTATTAGGTACATTCCTAAATACCTACACAGTTTGTTAAAAGGAAATATTGTTAAGTAGTTAAGAGCTGTTGCACTGTTTACTATTACAATGATATAAGGAACCAGAAGAGTTACACCACATTTTAAACCGACGCGACGTTAATAAATTAAAAACAAACTAGTTTTGTTTTATTTTTGAATTTTGTTTTGTTTTTTGTTTTCGATTGCTTCTAAAATATAAGTTGGTTCCCTTAATGGCATCCCTCTTACGTGTCTTGGATCTACCAGTTCTGATAATATACAATTCATAAAAAAACTTTTTAATTTTTGTTCCATTTTGTTTTGCCAGAAATCATTTCTCTTTAGTATGTACTCTACTTTGAGCGGATATTTATGGTCTGTCCAAACACCAAAGATACATCCTTTCCGGCCAGTAATATGTAACTGGCCTTGTATTTGGTAATACCATTGGTGTTCTGTATTTACTACATGTTCCCCAGTTTTTTTTTTATCAGTAATCCAAAACGGAATTTTATATTTTTCTTTTGCGTCGTCCACTTCCATTTTATACGCTGAATATGGACATTTTACCTCAACCACAAGATCATCGCCAACGATTCCATCTGGTGTTGCACCTAAAAAATAATAATTTTTTATATTTTTTTTTCTATTGTTTTTAGTGTATACAAATATTTTATATTTTTTTATTTTTAATATAAAATAAACGGTACCAGAGCCGGCATATTTTTAAATAAAAACAATAATATATATTATTTACCAACCTAAATATGGATATTCTCGATCGATAAAAATTCCACATTCTTCAATTAAAATGTTTTCTTGTTCTTGTAGTTGGAGTAATGCCACTTTCTCATATTTTTTTCCATGAGAAATGGAAGCTGCTTTTGGAGATGACTCATAAACTATTCTTTTTACTAATGGTCCACTCAAAGTTGTGCTTCTTCTAGTACATACTGCCTTTAAATGTGACGCTGTAATCATTTTCCTTCGGACTTCAAGCCATAAGCTACTATTTGCCTGGGAAAGAGTTTTTTTTAAATTGAACTTTTTTAGAATCAGATGATGATAATCCTTTTAGAAAATCTTTTTTCTCTGCCTCAAAAATATTTTCATCCAAATCTGGTTTGCTGCAGTTTTCGCCATAGTCGAAATCGGTATTGGTCGCCTGAACCCTTTTTTTTTTTTCTTATACTAGATTTAGCTTTTATAGCGTAAGCGTCGTTGTCTTTCCAATTTATTTGCTACTAGCAATGAGTTACTTCCCACAGTGTTCTTTGATTCAGAATTACCACATTTTGAATTGAATGAAACAACTGCAGCAAAACACCTACTTTGGTACGATCGTCCTTTTGAATAATTAACTCTTTTACACCCTACAAATTTGGTGACAATAGAGTGAAATTGTTCAACAATATTGCTGTCAACATCATATAACAGACTTCTACTTTGGTCTGACAAAGAATGTAATATTTGCTGAAGTCTTATAAAAAATTCGGGACTAGATTTCAAATTAGGCACAACATTGAGAGTGTCATCTGAATTTTTCTTACAAAAATATTCATCGCAATTCGAATGTTGCCCAAATATATGTAGAACAGAATTATCTATATCCTTTTTCGGCAATAAAATATTTTGAGAACTGCCTATATTTATGGTATTGGTTTTGTAATCAATGTTCTAAATCGAAGAATATTTTGGGACAATAACTTTCTCAATTTTATTGGGAAGCGGGTATTCAGGGAAAGTGTTTTTAATTTATTTGAAAAATTTTTGAGTAAGTGATTTCTACACTCGATTTTTTCAACAGTTAAATTCTCTCAAATTTTTGTGTGCTTCTATCACCATCAGAAATTAGCTTTGCATATTTAATACTGGGCAATTTTTCGCTATGTTTAAAACCCACTAACAAAATGGTGAATTCTATTCCTGTAGAAGTTCCAGTATAGTTTTTATAGCATTTATGTTCAATTTGTTTATTGGCTAAACAAACCGAACAAAACTTATTTTTTACACCTAGATATAAAACTTTTCCAAATCGGTGGCCTATTATTGTAGCTGCACCGGAGAGGGCAATGTAGTTTGATCTACAAGACCTTTTAGACCACCAGCATCCGTCTGCCACAACGGTTATTAATGGAATTCCATTTTTAAACCGAAATTCTAATAACTCTAAAATCGCTAAAATTCTTTCTCTTAACATAAGAATCCTTTCTTCTTCCCATGCTTTTAATATCTCCACAATATACACGCGTATCGAATCTTTCAAATTATACTGAGTCCATCCCAAAACAATATTTGTCTATCCGTGTCCTATACACCTATACGGTAGTTACGGATGCAATTGAAGAATGTCTCTGACAAGGGTTTCTATCTTTTGAGGTGGGGGTATTGGAGGAGATACCTACTGCAAATTTCCCCTGAAACGAAATTCAAGCGTCCAGAGCAATAACTCTTAAATGGTTAATAATTAAAAATAAACGTCAATATAATTTTATTAATTTCTTGTATAATGTCATAAAAGAAAATAAACCAAAAACTCTTTTGGATATGTTAGTTGTGAGATCACCACTGCACCCTCTAAATGGCCGCTCTAGAAATCTTTTTCACATTCCTCATCACAATTCAGTCATTTTTCAGAAATCATTTACCTACTAATCTGTTAAAATTTATAATGAATACTTATGAAGCAAATACATTATCCAAAAAATTGAAGAATAATCTACTCTCACAGCAATTTTAATTCTTTAAACTTTACTTTTCATCCATTTTTAAAGTAATCTATTATATTTTGTTTCTACTACTTTGTTTAATTTTTATTTCATATCTAGTTTTATATTTCGAACTTTATTTATTTTATTTTTTTATTATTTTGAAATTTAATTAATGATAAAATCAGTTAAAATCTAATTTTCTTTATTATTTTATTAAAAGCATTATGCTTCTTTTTATATTGTAATTTTAGGTTAAGTGTAAGAATAGCTTGCAGCTAAACTGCGCCTCTTTGTACAATTTATTAATAAACGCGATTTATTATTATATTATTATCTTTGGTCCATAAACAGGGCCGTATTAAACGATGTATTATAAATGGTATCAGAGCCGTCCACGATGCGCAAAATCCTATCTTTAGGTGGGTATATGATGAAATGGTATCAGTCAACAGTACCGTTATAGCCTACTTATGTTATGTTGATAATGGGGTGTTAATACACTGCGACCTAAAAGATCTATTGTGCCCCCTTCTGTCGCCACTGCACTAAGGAAATGTCTCAATGCCTATAGCGACCCTTCCAATCCTATATAGCCTACTTACGTAATACATGAAAATTTCTATGGTTGAAATTGTAATTAGATAATTTATTTACAGTGATATATTACTACAACCTGCATTCATTTTTAGGGCTACTTTCTCCAACCCTTTGCGCTATATATCAAAGATAAGAGCACAGAAGTCCGCCAAGCCACGTGTTATGGATGGGGCGTACTTGCTCAATTTGGCGGCGATCAGTTCGCGGGAGAGTTAGCAAAAGCTATGCCCCTATTAGCGGAAATTATCAACGATCCCGAATCTAGAGACTCCAGAAATATCAATGCTACCGAAAACGCAATTTCAGCCGTTACGAAAATCCTGAAATTCCATAGTTCTCAAATTAATATGGATGAAATTCTACCATTGTGGTTTTCATGGCTACCTGTAATCGAAGATGCTGACGAGGCACCTCATATTTATGGATACTTGTGCGATTTGATTGAGCAGAATAACCAACACATTTTAGGTAAGAATGACTTGAAACATTATTTTACATTTTTTTGTTTAAAGCAAATTACGCATATCGAGGATTTCGAAATTTTGGAAGTAGACTCTAAAATCGTAATTTTAGGACTTAAATCAATGAAACTTTATTTAAATATAAAATGTATCAGTTATAAAACTTTTTTAGTATACATTTTGACCCCTTTGCAAAACCTCAAGAACTCATGATAGGTTATTAGTGTTATTACATATCGTCGGTACAATGCCAAAACCAGGAATGTGCAAATTTTTCAGTTTTAGGGAATGTGGTCTTTCAAGCCTTAGGAATTGAAATAACTGCTAAATTCTTACTTTCTGAAAATAGACATGATATACTTAAGAATAAAAAAAATGCCAATGATGTTTTTTTAGTATTTGCTACTCTTGAGTAAACATGATGTAAATTACTAACTGAGGCATTTAATCTTTAAACATGACCGAACTTTTAAAAGGTGCATAGCTTAGATCCTGTCCTATTAAAATAAACTAAGTCACTTTTTAGAGAATCAACTATTTTATTCGATTTTAGAATACAGGGTGTTTCAGAATAAAGTACCATAAACTTGTAGATTTTAACTAATTAAAGAGAAGCTAAATATAATATTCCTGTAAACGTCCCAGTTTTCATTCTACAGAGTGATACAGAATTTCATAAATACATAATTTTCAAAATATCTTCACGGTATAAAGTTGATTAATAATTATTCCTCACGCAATTTGTCACAAAAAAGGGACTCTTGGTTTATCTAATATGACACATGTCACGTCAACAGACAAGTCATGATAATATACAGTTGGAATCATATGGAAAACGTTTATTATTAACTAGCTATTGCCCGCGGCTTTGCTCGCAACTTTGCTGGCATATAGTCGTGTTATTAATATAAAAAAATACATGACTTCCTTTTTTATTAATTTTTATTAGTTTTATTGGTTTTCATTAATTTTTTCATTTTTTTATATTTATTCATTTTTTTTTTAATTTTTACTCATTTGTATTCATTTTTATTAATGTTTTATTAATTTTTTTAATTTTTATTAAATTTTATTAATTTTAATGAATTTTTATTAATTTTCGCCCCCGTTTCCCCCCTTAAAATGTGAAAATCCAAAAACCATGAAACACTTCATTATTTATTTATGATGAGAACCTACAATTCCAATTTTCAAGTTCCTACCTTTAAAAAAATCCGATATTTCCAAATAAACTTTCACCCCCCGTTTCCCTCCCCCCTTATAATGTGAATATCCAAAAACCTTAAAACACGTTGTTATTAATTTGCACTCATTAGCTGCAATTCCAATTTTCATGTTTCTAACTTCAACGAGAACAAAAAAGTTATACTCTTTTACAAACTTTTGCCCCCGTGCCCCCCCCCCCCCCCTCGAGATGTAAAAATTTAAAAACCCTAAAACACATTATATTATTAATTTGTACTCAGTAGCTGCAATTCCAATTTTTATGTTTTTAACTTTAAAGAGAACCAAAAACATGGATACTCCCAAATAAATTTTCATCTCCCTATTTTCCCCCTTAAAATGTGAAAATTCAAAACCCTAAAACACGTCATTAATAATTTGTAGTCAGTAGCTGCAATTCCAATTTTTATGTTTCTAACTTTATAGAGAACAAAAAAAATCTATAGTCCCTTACAAACTTTCACCCCCCGTTTTCCCCCCCTTAAAATGTAAAAATCCAAAAACCCTGAAACACGTCATTATTTTTTTTTCAGCAGCTGTAATTTAAATTTTCATGTTTCTAACTATAAAGAACAAAGAGTTTCATTAAAAGCTCCCTCCCCCCATTTCATCCCATTTCCCCCCTTTAAAGTTAAAATTTCCAAAAATCCATTCTTAGCGGATGCTTACGTTATAAAATAAACCTCTGTTCCAAATTTCATCTTTCTAGGCCTAGTAGTTTTGGCTGTACGCTGATAGGTCAGTCAGGACAAACAATTTTATATACAGTGAGCATCATAAGTCTTACCCCCTAACTAACTCGTTACTGGGGTCTTGTTAGGAAAATCGCCGAGACAGGTCGATTTTTGATTTCTACAATGTACATTTTTGCATGATTAGTTTACCCTTAATTTCATCCCTTACTGGAGGGTAGCAACCCTTTCGAAAAATTTAAATGGCATGGGGTGATGAGTGATAGCTCATTTGAAAGGGGGTTTTATTCTCTATTCAACCGTGCAAAAAATTTTGAAATTTGCTTCATTACGTGTTGATTTATTAATGTTTAAAAATAACAAAACCTCACAAAATAGGAAAGCAACTAGACTAACAGTGACCTTCTAATTGCAAAAAGTCTTACTTCACGTACTGAACCAAAACCGAAATCATGCAGGGCCGAATTTTAATTCTAAGGATGAGTGCGCTACGTTAATTTCCGTTATTCTGAAACAACAATCAGTCGAGAATTAATGAAGCAAATTTCAAATTTTTTTACACGGTTGAATAGAGAATAAAACCCTCTTTCAAATGAGCTATCACTCATTACCCCATGCCATTTAAATGACTCCAGTTACGAGTTAGATAGTGGGGGGGGAAGACTTTTGGTGTTCACTGTATATAGATTTTTGGAAAAAAAGTTATTTTTCATAAAAAGTTCTGCATGACCTAAAACAAAAAATATAATCATCGTATATTATATTTTTCAATTGTATACGAGGTTTGTCTTCAGCAAAATTAATATTTTTTGACAAAACTTGTATACGACTGATAAGATAAAATTTAATATCAGATGGTGGAATTTTAGGTTTTATATCATGCACAACTTTTTATTAAGAATAATTATTAATTTTAGGAAAAAAGTTATAAGCATTGAAGATGGCTTAATGACGAAAGCGCTTTGCTATATATAAAAAAAAAATAAACGAAGTACAAATTTTCTTTTATAAAAACAGGCTTATTAATTAACTTAACTCGTCATACACAAGTCCAGACCCGGATTTAAATTTTTAATTCTATTTTTTTCTTATTTTTGAAATATCTTTATTTTAACGATTTCCTTACACCGCATTGGCTATCGAAGGTCACGCGACTGTAACAGAGATTTAGAATATCTGTCTCTAAATGAAGATGAAGCAATACCTAATCATTAACCAAGAATAATAACCTCTGAGATATTTTATTTACAAAGCATCTGTAAATCCTCTTTTCTAAGTTATTGAGTAGTTCCAAACTAGAATATCGTGAGGTTATCTGGAGACAAATGACAACTTGGCTTTATAGGGCCGATTCCACCATTGTGTTAAACGAATTTTAAAATGACATTTTTACATTAACAATATAATTTTAATCTTCGCTTAGTAATTTAAAGTTCGTTTAATACAACGGTGGAATCGGTCCTAAGTGACCTACATGTTCTAAAGGATCGACATAAACTTCAGTAGCGTACAGGTGATATTAGAAATTTTTAAAATTTAATTACTCCATTTATTTGTATTTTTTCAAATTAATATTTTCGCAAATTCTAGAATAGTTTAAAAATAACTTGTATTTCAATGACACCTTGTATATTGTATAACTTAACGCATACATTAGGCCAGTCTTATTAGGTACCAAAATATGGTATGCGAGGCAAAATTCTGTACATAGATTAATAATTATATGGTCTGTTCCAACAACGATCAGAAACCAGTCATTGACACCAGGATTATGCGCAGTATATAATTTGGCGGACTAAATAATCCACTGCGCAGAATCCTGGTGTCAATGACTGGTTTCTGATCGTTATTGGAACAGATCTAATAAATAAAGTTGTACACAAAAATAGCTTTTGCATTTGTATTTTCCATCTCGGTGGCTTTCTCTAGCAGCAAAACCACTCATCTTAGGTACAGAGGTACATCAACTATGTAAATATCCAATATCTACAGGATAAATTGATGAGTTAGAACAGAAGTAAAAGTTGGAAATGCTTTTGCCAGTTCTCCCACTTTATACACATAAATTGACAGGTTGGCAGCGGATTTCACCGAAGTGGATGCGATACATTGGCGTACAAAATTATTTTATAGATGTTAATAACAATTTCGAGTAAATAGTTTAATAAATTGTGAATAGCTGTTGAAATTTTGTAAAATTATGATTTGAATATTATAATACATGTTTAATAATTATTTATAATCCATAAATACATGTGATTGTCCGGTTCCGCCGATAGCAATTTAAAATTACTTATTCTATGAAACGACACTGGCAGGTAAACATTACTGCGAAATTCTCGGAGCCGCCCGACGTGGTTTGACGTTTACTCCCTCTATACCTACCAAAAGACTTTTCAACTTTTACTTTCTCTATAATCCTCATTACAGACTAATTTCTTCAGTGTATTTAGATTTCTTGCAAATTTTAAGTCGCAACATATTTTTAGGGGTAAATAATTCAAATATTCCAAGGATAATCAACATAATAGCCGAAGCATTCTTCAGAGAAGCAATTGAACCTGCAAAGCCTGAAGGTTTTAGAATGGTTAACATCGTTAGGCAAGTTCAGTCGAATGAATCATTTTTCCAAAGTGTGGTTCAGTCTTTGGCACCCGAATTACAGCAAGCCTTGCATGTGGCCCTACATACTCCACCCACATCTTAGCTGAAGATTAAAATTTAAGTTATTGTTTTTAAATTTAATTTGATCAATTAGCTGATTCTTTGAAACATTGCGATTTTTTCCTTAACTGTCACCGAAATTGGCAAGTATGACACGTCGGTCAATAGCTGATAAATAAAATCATTTTTTAATAATTAATTGTTTTATTTTTTTTTTATGGTGAGACTATTTATTTTGGTAGAAAGAGGAAAAAATTGACAGTGTTTTGTGAACAGGTGGATTCAGAGTTGAAAATAAAAAAAGTTATAGCTATATAAATTATTTTTATATTCGTGTGATGTTATAGCTAATCTTTGTTTTTTGTGTAGCAGTTTGACAATTTTTTTACTGAAATTTTTTATGATTGATCTACCTGGTGACAGGTACGTCTTTTGTTTCGTCAACTCATTATTGATATTGTACATAGAATTCACAACTCTGGACTATATGTGATACTTTTTTTTTTTTTTTCATTAAAATTCATAAAATATTTTTGTCTACAAGATTGTCGTTAGTGTTTTAAAATTTATTTAATCACTAATGAAGTTACATAAACTATCTCAATAAAAGGCATTTCCCGAGATTGTTGCGTTTCATTATATCAGTAAATAAACAATAGTATGATTTAGAAAGTTGTTACAAAGTGATAATGCTGGATAATTTGAAAGTTTAATATTTTTTTCTCTTATCAGCTTTTATGAAGCCCGTTAAAGTAAAGCTTTGGTTTCCAAGAGAGCTTTCATGCATGCCGTAGCTTAAAATAGCGGTGGTGTCATTTTAGAAGCAGTGAACAACAGCGGCTGGAACAATTATTGATCAACGTTCTTTGACGGTGTCTGTGTACTTGTTTATTTAAATTTGACATGAAAATATTGGGCTCAGGTAAATTCTGAAAAATATATTTTAAGGCTTTTATTTTTTAGGTAAAAATACTATTCTGAGTAGTTAGCTAACATTTATTTCTCGGTGTCAGATGTATTTTAATTCGCAGCTACGATCAAAGTGGGCCAAGTTCCTATCGTGTTAAAGTGTATAGTTTATGTATAGTAGTAGTAGTAGTAGAGTCAAAGAGGTGACACGTGTCTATAATATAACGACTTAAATTGTGTTTTAAGGTGGTTAAAACTTATTAGTTGTGGCTGAAAATATTCGTTAACCCTCGGTCACCCGCGTTCAATTTCGAAACAAAAGTACCCGCGCGGTATCTAAGAGACGCCATTCAATTAAGTTATAAGAATGGAATGAAAATATATGCTAAAGGTTGTATTTAAATAATTAACAAACTACTCATATATATTTTAATGTTTAAGTTCAAATTTGCAAACAAAAATTTCTTTGTTACAGCAGTAAAATAAATATCTAATAAATATAACATCATTTACATTTTTAAACATATGAACAAAATAAATTAAATTTATGAAATACATAGATAACTTCTTAACATAAATAGAATAATATAACAAAAATAAAAAAAAGCCCCAAACGCGATAATACATATTTCATTTGAAATTACATGAGTGGCATATATATTCTGTATGCTTGAGGCACATAGAATTATTGAATTGCTTGTACTTGTATTTGTTCATGCAATTTTTTTTTCTACTACACATATCTAGTACACGTATTAAAGAAGGTACATGAAAGGAGAAGTAAGCATCTCACTATTTTTAAAAGTTATGGGCATTGTTAAAAAGAGTGGCGTCTGTCAGACGCCACGCGGGTATCTGAGGGTTAAGATGTATGAAGTGTTGATTGGATATTAGGGTGTATCATTTTTGAGCAACTTTTTTTTTTTCAACTAAAAAACAGGCTTAAAACTTTCAGGAAGGTGAAAAAAGAAGCCTCTAAAAATTTGAGCTCTTAATATTATCATTTAGTGGTGCCTGTTCCTAACCACATCCCCAACTAGCCATTCATAAAAGTGTATTTGTTGTGAAGTCCTCATCATCATCTATTGTATAGTCCAGGAGACGGTGACGATTTTCGGTATTTATTTTCCCAGTCAGCAAACACGGATAGAGAATTGTAGGGTTAACAATTTTAAGTAAAATTTATATATATTTAGAGGGGGGGGGGGGAGGGGGTCCGATGGGTTGAAGCCGAAAATGCATCAGAACATACGAAAACACGGATCGTTTTTTTCAGTGATAGAAATAGTTCTAGTAGTAAGAGTTAAGTTAAGTAAAAAAGTAGTCTGATTAATCTGTGAGTATGGATAATATATTTGGCAAGTGCATAAAATAACTTTCAAACGAGTTATGTACACAATTATTTCTACGACCACAATTATTTAAAGAATGTTCCAGGTGTTTTGTATATTAAAGTGTACGCATAGGACACAAATAAAATCATATATCACAATGTTTCACATAACCAGTTGGTTTATTTATAGAAATAAAACATAATAATTGAAGATATTACAGAAGAAAATAGGGAAATAAATTACATTTCCTTTATATAATAATTGTTTTATTTAGAATTCACGAAACACTTATTACATTAATTATTGTTAGTTTCATTATGTCAAATCATTTATACTAGAGATGTGAGGAAAATACAGTGAACTGTGGAACGCCAATATCGTTGGATGCGCGTGGTAGAAATGGTCCTATAATAGTGCTAAAAACATAGCTAAATTTTCATGGAAACACTTTACTTTTGACATTTGCGATACTCCGACGCATATGCATTATTGATGTAATCTCATGATTTTACAGTAATAGTTTTTGCAATTTTAGTGTGATTTTTAGGTTATTATGGTTATTCATTTTATTTGGTTCTGATATTTTGCGCTTTTAGAGTATTTGTCTTTTATATAGTTCTTAATTTAAATTTTAATATTGTGGTCTATTTATATTTGATTGCTGCTTTTTGACTAGTGCTTTATTCTTTTTGTGTTAAAATAAGCTTCATAACCATTAAGTACATGCTTCTAGTTGATATCTACCTAATCGTCATCGGGTGCTTGCAACAATGGGAAAAAGTGTATGTTTTTTTTTGGTGTAAAGTTAGACGCCTTCATTTTTCAGGTAAGTTATTTTTTTTGTACTTAAAAGGATAGCAATACGTCCTGGTTCGGGGTGTGACTGTTGGGTTTTAGCTATCTGAGCCAAATTATCGGCTAAGTGTCCTCTTTTGGGGCACCCAGAACCGAAAACTATACAGGGTATAACTAAATAAGTGTAAAACATTTAAGGGGGTGATTCCTCGTCGAAAAAAAGATAGGATATTTTATATAAAGAAACTTCATTGGAGCATCCCTTGTTAAGATACAGCCCCTTAAAGGGAGTACATAAAATTTGTTAAACAATTTTTTTCACAAGCACTAAACAAGTTACAATATTGAAATTAACCTGTCATTTTCTACTACCAAAAAGACACTTAGCCAGTAATTTATTTGGTTTACCCCATGGTTGTAAGGGGTGGAAAACGCAACTCCTAAAAATTCGTTCCAACGTAACTTTGTCTTATTGGGTCGTTATCCGTAACGTACATGTTAGGCCGAGTTTTAACAGTAACAAGGCAAGTTCGGACGATGGAACACTTTTTCCAACACATTACTGTTATTTTCCGCCTGTTATGTTCTAAATTAACAGGTTTCCATCATACGAACTTGCCTCGTTACTTTTAAAATTCGGTCTAACATGTACGTTACGGATAACGTAAACGTTCAATCATAGCACCCAATATTTGTTTACCATTTAAAATTTTATTTCCGATAGCCTGTTTCATTCTAAACAAAAAATATCTCTTGAATTTTTTGCCCAAAAAAACCAGTTCGCAGCAAAAAATTATTTTACGAACAACTACAGAGATACATCGTCATAAATGCGAACTGGATTTATTGTTATTTTGTAGTTACTACCTGCATTAAATACATTACTGGCTAAGTGTCTTTTTGGTAGTAGAAAATGTCAGGTTAATTTCAATATTGTAACTTGTTTAGTGCTTGTGAAAAAAATTGCTAAACAAATTTTATGTACCCCCTTTAAGGGGCTGTATCTTAACAAGGGATGCTCCAATGAAGTTTCTTTATATGACAGATCCTATCTTTTTTTTTCGATGAGGAATCACCTCCTTAAATGTTTTACACTAATTTATTTACACCCTGTATAGTTCACAAAAAATTTTCAACTAGGTTACTTGAAATTTTTTGTGATTTTTTAATAATAATTTCTCAATAAATTCCACGGTTTACTATATAAAATCTAAATATTTCAAAAACCTTATTTTTAGTTTTTTTCTACTCCATCTAATCAATAAATAATAGTAAAATTAATTATAATTCGAAAATTGTTGTTGAAGTCTTACTTTCTCATAAGACACTGTACAAACACATTTAAAAAAAAAATTCTCAAAAATTTGCACGGTAAGGTATACTTAAAAGTTCACTATTAGATAAATAAGGACATCTACTATTAGAAAAAAATTAATTTTAGTCATAATCAAATATTTTTTATTTAACATTGGTGGCGAAAGGACCTCCTTAAAAATATTTCTGGTGAATTTTTGTCTTCTGTGCGTCGTTATTTTCTTTCTATATGAAAATAATGATGTTTTCTTGAAAATAATTTTTAAGACATAAAAAAGTTTAATAAGTCCTAATTTCATACATTTGCAACTTTAAGTTTGAATATTTTTTATTTATTTAATAAATACACTATTCTACAAAAAAAGTTGAAAAAAAAAAGTTGCTTAAAAATGATATACTGGATATAGATGTATCAAGTAATTTTTAGAGAAATTACAGCATTAGATATTACACAAAACCTTAAATAGTGCCACAAAACGGACGATAATTGCTTTAAACTGTTTTGTACAAGAAAAACTGAGGCTTCAATTAACAAAGATATTCGCTGTTCATTCCACCACAGTAAATTAATCTGCATCTCAATATGTCTACCACTTGCAAATCGCTACAAGAACTCATAGCTATAGAGTTGACTATTCTTATCGAAAAAATTGTGGATAAAGCAAATAATACACAAACTGACACAATAAAAAAGATATTACCAGTAAACTTGAAAGTGTTGCAAACAATTTGGAAGAAAATAATCAGACAATAGAGGTACTTCAAAATAAAGTTAAGTTTTTGGAGCGAAAGGTGCGCAAGAATAATATTGTAATATTTGGTATGGTCCTGGACAACAGAACGGATTTATTGAATGAAGTATTACATAACTTAAACAACCTTCTTGAAATTCAAATAGGACGTTGTGATAATAATATATATTTAATGAAAAAAAAAAAAAAAAAAAAAAAAAAGGAACTGATGTCAATCCCATCGTCTTAGAGTTTGTTTCATTTTTAGGAAAGCAAGCATTATTTAAAAACGTTAAGACGGTGAAGGCCACTGGAGTAGCAATAGCCAGCGAGACCTTTTATGAAGATAGAATCAACAATAAAGTCCTTACACGTCATTTAAAACAAGCTAGAGGTTTCTCATTGGAGGTAGAAAATAAATTATACTCAGTAGAAGAATTAAAGAAGCTGGAACAAAAAGCAGAAAGTTCTAGTGAAAGCATCGTACATAAAAGGTCTATCAATCAATCAATATATGTTTATTGTCAAAGCTACAAGAACT